AGTAATTTCGTAAGAAGACGCTTCAAACGGCGCGTGAGGGTGAAAATAAACCACTAATGCATTGATTAACATTTCATTTAACTATACAGTTGTATAGATTTTGTTTGTCTAATGTCAACAATTATTAACCACGATCATCACATAGTGTGGTCTGTTTGTGAGTTCACAATTCGCTGCTGTTAAAATGGTATATGAAGGATTTGGAAAACCTTAGAAGCAAATTTTAATCATAGCGGAACTTAAACACAGTCATTCAAGGGCAGTTTATGCGTGACTACTAGTACAATTAATTGCTGTTTTATTTAGACAAGACTAACAAACAAAATGAGTAAGCCTTTAATCGCTTCTTCCTCATGACAATCTCACTTTACCTCAAGGTTAATCGCTTTCTTCAATGCGGTGAACACATTCATGTTCCCAGTCTCCTTTTCAAACTCTGAAGCCAGCTGTTCACTCACGTTTGCTAATTCGCCAGCTGCACTTGCCAAGCTGGAGGTCTTTCTTACCGCTTCACACAGTTTCTGATTTCGATTCCCATGAGCCTGGTTAACAAGATGTTAACAGTGCATCAGAGATAAGCCAAAACAACTCCCATATACCCTAGAAACAATCAAACACTTATGGGTAAAAAAAATATATCAATTTGGTAGATTGTAGTTTTTCTGTTTCCCTTCAAAGAGCTAAGATTCCAAATTCCTATTCAACCAGAAACAACTGACAAAATAATACAACTGATTTTCCCATAACTAGATACTATCTAATTTTAAATTTTGGAAAATGAACAATCAATCCATGACCATAATTATTTCACTTACCGAGTTGGGCTCATGAGGGTTGCCAGTAACACCTGCTCCAGGATCTTGAATGAGGCAGCCGTTCCTGCCAGTTCTTTCATTGTCTGGGAAAGGAAAAATCATCAAAAAGAAAAATGTAAAAAAAACATAGGCATGCTATACACCCAAGAGTTTCACTTTTTATGGTGGGTTGGACAGGGCAAGACACTGAATTTTCATGATCTCGATGTGTTGACCTCTTATAAACAGCCACCGAACAATTTGACGTCGCAGTTTACCGCCTTCCAGCGAGCGATCAGCGAGTACCCAAGTTCTACCTTACTACCTTAACACCGTTTGATTTTTGACGTCTGAATCGGTGTAAGATCCGCTATATTCACTAAATTTAAAAAATATGTTTAGATCTTGGACCGGATTAAACAACAGGTCATGTACGTTTGCCGTTTACTTTACCGCCATCACGTTACAAGCGTTAAACAAGGAAAACGATATAATTTCTTGCGAGGAACCTGCTAAAATATACAATAGTAAAGTAAATGGTTTGAACCCAGGAGTATCAGTAGTTCGTGTAGTGTGATCGTCCGGGTGAGTGTAGTTTTGAAAAGAACTGTTGTTGGTGACTGACTTTTCGACTATCTGTGCGATAGTCATCTTCAGAGTCAAGTGAGGAGTAGTTGTCAGTCGATGATGTTATAAAGTCTGGTCTGTTGAACGTGATTGGTCTATTTAGCCGTGATGTGATTGGCTGGAAGACTCGTGTAGAGTTTGTTAACAGTCATTGGTCGGTTTCGATCCGTCTGTTGTTTGTCGGTCTGTTTGTCGGTTTGTTCACGTCGTTAATGAGTCGTTTGTAAGGTGCTGGTAATTGTTGACATCTGTTGAGAGGCGTCTGTTCTAAGTTAGTGAACCAGCTTTCCAGAGTCAGTCGTTGAAAATAGTTTGTACTGTGCAACTGCTTGTAGTGTTTCCCGTTGTACTGAAAGTAAGTCGATGTAAGGCAGAGGTTAAGTAGGTCCATAATGTCTTCTGTCGGTAATGGTAGTGCATCAGTAGACTGTTGGATGGCGGTTTCAGTACACTGTAGAGCCAATTGAAGTGGAATACTGGTGAACAGTGATTTCACATCAAAAGACACAAGTTTGTAGTCGTCAGGTATCTGTACGTCTTTGATAATGTCAATAAAGTTCTCAGTTGATTGTAGTTTACGTCTCGATTTGTCAGTCAGTGGTTGCAGTATCGTCGTAAGGTATTTCGACAGTTGGTACGTCGGGGACCCACAGAATGAGACTATAGGTCGCATAGGTATCCCAAGTTTAGTAAGTAAGTTTAGGTGGTTGTGGTACAGAGCACCTCAGCCGGTAGTAGCGTTGAGTGTCAAAGGCTTCAGTCTTTTTGAGCGTAAGTAGTTTGTTGTTGAGTTTGCGTTGTAGTGCTGGCGTCGGGTCACGTTTAAGTAATTCGTAAGTTTGTTTGTCGTTAACAAGTGCGTCCATTTTGTCATAGTAGTCAGTCTTGTCCATAACAACAGTAACACGTCCTTTGTCGGCTGGTAGTATAACAATGTTCTTGTCGTTTTTCAGTCGTTTCAGTGCTTGTTGTTCGTCTTTGGTTAAGTTGCTGTCAGTTATAGAGGCTGATTGTATCGTGGAAGCAATTCTACTTCTGATGTTGTCCTTGGCAGGTTCTGATAAGTCTCGTTGACGAGAAAGAGCCGCCTCAACACTAGATACAATAGACTCGGTCGGTATACGTTTAGGCGTCACTGAGTGTTTCAGTCTGTAAGATAGTACTTGAGTCTCAGTCTTGTCTAAGGGACGGGAAGAGATGGCGAAAAGAAAAAAAATTATTTCGGAAAAATTTAGCCTAGATTCTGGAAAAGAAGTTTCTCATTGTCTTGAGATTTAAACCTCACATTTCATCCCTATGACACTTGTATTTTCTGAGATCTTTCAAAAGACTTCATTTACATTGAAGCAGTCGCACTGACATATGCTTCGACGATGTTAACGAGAGAATAAATGAGAATTGTGTTTTTTATTTTGCTACAAGCGTTGAAATAAGGAAAAAAATTCTGAGGGCAAGCAAGGAACTGAAACCTGTAATTAGCAATGTCGGAAGCGTCATGTCAGTAAATACTGCACGAAATATGGAAAATTTTGTACTCGTCCCACGCTTGTGACAAGACGGAAAAAATGCATTATTTCATCACCGCCTCAAAATTCAGCATCTTTCTTATTCTAGATAAACAATTTTCTCATAATCGTTTAGATTCAAACTTTGCATTTCATCACTGTGACACCTGTTAATTGTTTCTAAGATATTCCAAACAAATCAGTTTAAGTCATTAAAATCATTTTTACAAGTATTGGCTCTTTGGTAAACAAATGGCGATGTGAGATTGGTGCCAGTGAGATCACTCGCACCGAAAACAAAGAAAGGAAAGTTGTTCCTATGGAAGTAACCGAAGCACGACGAGACCAAACAACTGAATAAAGGGGTGAAGTTTGTAAAGAAACTGTGTTGCTGCGTCGGTGAAAGAGTTTAAAAAAGTAATTTGGTATATGATCAACTGGGTTAATAACGTAAATTGTGCACAGTGAAGAGTTTCAAAGCTGACGGTTCGAGCGTTAGCCTTTCGTCAGAGACCAAACAACGCCTGTTATCTAGCATTACGGATTCCAACATCGAAAAACAAGAGTTTTCATGAAGTTCGAATGAAGAGTTGAAAGTACCAGACAATCGAGAAAGAACCGCTTAGCTATTTACGGTAAACGAATTTCCGCCTGCACTTTCCGAAGAGTGAATATTCTCGAACCAACATTTTGATTCTGTTTTTTTAAAAGGTAAATGTCGAAGTGAATTTAAAGGAAGCAGGAATTGTGTTAAAAGGTGCCATTTGGACAGTGTGCACCACCTGAAATTTATGAACAGGCGGAGAGACGCTGAGTGTTTTTGTTTGGAGGTCTCAAGCTGTCAAGAGATCAATTACCTGAACAGTGAATAACTATTTAAAATTCTGTTTTCCATCCAACCACTTCCCCACAAGCAATCGGTATTCACACGACAAGTCTTAAACACAGTGAGGTTAAACAAACCTAACCTAACCAAACCCAACAAGTCGCTAAGAAGCAGTCGCACTGACATATGCTTCGACGATGTTTACGAGAGAAAAAAATGAGAAATGTGTTTTTTATATTGCTTCAAGCGTTAAAATAAGGAAAAAAATTCTGAGGGCAAGCAAGGAACTGAAATCTGTAATTAGTAATGTCGGAAGCGTCATGTCAATTCACGTACTCGTCCCACGCTCGTGACTAGACGGAAAAAATGCATTATTTCATCACCGCCTCAAAATTCGCCATCTTTCTTACTCTAGATAAACAATTTTCTTAAAATCGTTTAGATTCATACTTAACACTTCATCACTGTGACACCTGTTGGTTGCTTCTAAGATTTTCAAAACAAATCAATTTAAGTCATAAAATCATTTTTACAAGTATTGGCTCTCAGGTAAACAAAAGGCGATATGAGATTGGTGTCTGCCGCACTCATAACAAAGAAAGGAAATGGACACAGCCAAGCACGATCAGACCAAACAGCGGCATGAAAATAGGGGTTAAGTTTGCTTTGATATTGTGTCGGTAGAAAGAGTATAAATAGGTAATCGGTTATATATATCAAATGAGTTAATAATGTAAATTGGGCACCGTTAAGAGTTTCAAATCTGACGGTCCGAGCAGAACAAATCACTCCTGCTATATAGTACAGATTCCAACATCGAAAAACAAGAGTTTTCATGAAGTTCGTTATATGAAAAGTTGAATGTTTTAAACACAATCAGGAAAGAGCCGCTTAGCCATTTACGGCTAACGAATTCCCATGACTTAGACCTAAAAAAGGTAGTATTTAAGGTGTGAAACTTTTGTGTTATATTTGCGATTCTCACTTTTCTGTTT